CTCAAAGAATAAAAAAAGCCAATTGATTGTATAAAATTGTGAGGTCCAACATTACTTGTTTTTTAAAAGGAAGTCATCTAACAGAATGCATCAACAACCTATACAACTTCTCTCACTCTCATGTTTCCCTCCAAATACTAGTTCAAATGAGAATTAATCCATGATCCACAAATTTTGACCAGAACCAGTAACTTCGAATAACATTAATCAGTGTTGTTCATTAACCAGATTTTTCTTCATCAGAATTTTAATAAGTAATGATCTTTCATATAATGACCAATAATAATCGGGACCATGTTCTCATCAGAATAGGACGCGAGATGCAATATATAGAACTTACAGCCTCTCTGGAGTTTAGCCTAGAACTTCATAACCTTGTCAAGATAGTGATACAGGCGAAAAGTTTTGATCCTCAAATCATCGGTTAGCGTCCGTTTATTTCTTGTTGACTATATGAATAATTTGATGACGAAATTTAGTCAATCGGAATGGCATAATAGTGAAAGTTATTCAACCTTTCGGCATAAAGTAAGTTATTCACCCTTTCGGCATAAAGTAAACAAGTGGAAATAACAACGGCGACTGACTACCTAGGAAAACTAAGAGGAAAAGGGCAATCTAGTTGTGAAAAGTACTTAGAAAGTTCTAAGAATCAATATCTCCGAAGTCAATTCCACATGGCCTAGCAAGATCAAATCTCATTCTCATGAAGTAAAGAATAAACCAAAACCCTAGATGTTGAGTTTTCAATCTAGAAGAGCCTGACTTTTTTCTCCTCGTCTCCTTTTCTCACCTTTACCAAAATTTCCTCTCAAGCTTTTGACTAACAAGAAGAAATCTCGTCTCAAGATGAACTGATAGAAAAAACTTTAGAAAAACTTACACCAGCTTCAAGCTTGGGAATATGATTTGATAATTAAAATCAAGCGTCATACATGGGGGAAAATCTTCAATCTCGGCTTTATAAACTACCAATTTCTAACAGAGACAAAGAGGAAACCAGCCAAACTCCTTTGTTTTTCTTAGGCTAAATCAGAATCAATATTAGGTTCTATCCATCATAACCCCAGACAATCCAGCAACAGCCATCAAAAATTTCCCATCATCTGAAAATCTCAATCTCCCCAAATACAAACCAAGATCAAATCCTGATCCCTGCCCGTTAATACTCATCGCATAACTTTTGAAATCACCCATTAATTCATAAAAATTTATACAAAAACACCAAGATTGACCTTCAATGTTCAAAATTTTCCAACTTCTAACACGCTCAAGAATGTCTCATAAAAAACCAAACTCAATTTCTAACAGGCAGAAGGAGGCGATAATCTAAAGTCATTGTTTCCTATTCTTTATCTGAAGTATATACTATACATATTATAACCCAACAAAATCGAGCACCGCCCATGCAAAATTTCCTACCAATCCTAAACAAACCTAAAAGGTAAGTCCAAAAATCTAAATACAATCCACTCCAAATCAAGATCGAATTTTGATCCCTACCCATTAATCCTCATCCAAAAACAACCGAACCCATTTCAAATCTCCCACTAATTCATCAAAATCTTGCAACCACTCAGCTAAAATTTTCCCGCCAGAACAAATCCCAATCTCATCAACCCCAAATCAAGATCAAATTTTGATCCCTACCCATTAATCCTCATCCAAAAACAAACTCCAAAAAATAAATTCAAGATAAACCTCACCTTATCAGGATGAAGATAGACCTTGTCCCTAAACAAGAGCAAGACCCCAGCATCATCCAAAACCCTAGCAAAAGCCGCAGCCTCCTCCTTCGTTCTCGCGACCCCCATCCCCTCACAAGCTTCTAGAAGCTCATTGTATCCGATCACCTCCCCGGTCTCCATGCTGAGCTTCTTTTTAAGCGCCTCCACATTCACCAGCCTCATCAGTCTCTTCGCCTCGGCAAACGTCATTGGAGGGTTTCCAGAGCTCGAGTCCGGTGCTCCGCCTGAAGGCGGCATAGAGCAGAGGCGGCTGGCCCAGGGTTGGGTCGGGTGCTCCGCCGGGAGG